CAAGCTTTCAGGCCACTGAAAAAAACAATCAAACTGATGACAAAAAGATTCGACAAGTGCACTTTCACTGGCAATCAGTTTTCAGACCTGAAAAAACTAAGCTCAAATGGCAAATTTTGTAATTAAGTTTCAATTAATTATGCTTCAGTTGAGAAAACCTCAACTATAATAATAATAATAATAATAGGTTACCAGTAGATAATTAAAGCTGTTGCGTCATATATTGACATAATAGTGCGACATAAGCAATTAATATTGTCACAATTTGCAAAAAATTTGAACTATTTTGCTTTTTGAAAAACTGAAATTCTCCTGAAAAATATGTGATTGATCATTTCCTCATAAATGGGAACTGAAATTAATTACCACAGTTCTAGAACATAACTTAAATATGCGTGGCATAATCGCTGAAAAAGGCTGAAARAAATAAATTACAAACGCCGACAAACTTGTAAATTCTAATTAAAGGGAATGTAATTTGCCTCGAAACTTGTAATTTATTGCGATTTTTCGCAATTAATTTTGGATTTTTCAGAGCGGTTGCAATGCGGAATTTCAGGTGATTTTTTGAAATCACAGCTGTAACAACGCAATTTATTGGTCGATGACAGTCTTTCAGGCCCGATTATGGCAATGGCATGTCGACATGACCCTCGATGCCCATCAATTTACGACAATTGGAAATTGGAAATCGAGTCAAGAAATATAAAAATCGTGACCGATTTGCATAATTTCACAATTAAAAACCTCATTTCTAGTAAGTTTRCCACGGAGCGGTTGTCGGAAATGCATCGGAAAAGTCCCTAAAGTAAAAACCGAAAATTTCTAATTTATGTAAACTACAAGTTTCTATTCGCTGAAACCAGCCAAAAACCCCTCTGATCGAAGAGAAAAATGCTGAAACGATTGTGAGTCGGAGGTTACGAGATGTGACCCTCAGATGCACCTGCCCTGAAAGCTTTCTACCCACTCTCAATTTCAGATTGCTATCGCTGAAAAGTGATCGCAGTGCATTTTTCTTATTATGTAAGATGTGCAATAGAGCGGTCAAACAATCGCATATTTTTCTTGAGAATTTGTAAAAATATCGTTATGAATATACAATGAGGAACATCCTCATGTTGCATCAGAAGAAGTGGCAGTTTTATTGTGAGAGGATGGATCAGTTAATTAATTTGTTTGTTGTTTGGAATTGTTTATAATAATTAGGACTGTTACATAAAAGAGTCAGAAGTCGAAAAAGCATCTAAATAAATTGAATATTTATAAATTAGAGAACCTTTTAGAAAATACATAAATTTTGGTTCCCTTGTGATTTTATGAGTATTTTGATACCACATATTTTTTTAATAATTCATCTTAACGTCAAAAAAGTGACCAATTTTATGACTAAATGTTACAAGTGAAAGTTTTTCCTTTCAGCCATGGAGTAAAAATTTTTGCGCCTAAGCGTTTTACTTTTAGCATGACATAACTAACATTTTTCTCTCTGTCGTTGCTTTAGCGACTTCTGAAAATACATTGTAGATCATCAGCGTTCGACATTTTGCTCTACTAACTGCACTAGTTTATAAGCGCTCTTATGATTTCATTACTTGCAAAACGTCCTGATTATCTTGTTCATTTACTTGCTAATTATAGTATTGCTCTTTACGTTTGCGAATAAAGAAATATATGTTATTCAAAGTAATAGTAACATAAGATAACATAAGATACTATTTTAACAAACAAATCTTCGTTTTTAATAAAAAAAACGTGCTAAAAATCTAAAAATATATGTTTTTTTTAGCTTATTTTTTCCTTAGATATGCTTAAATTTGTGATTATTTCTCCATTTTTGAAGTGAATTTTTGGAAAAAAAAATAGTACAACCTATTTTTTGACATAAATCGGTGTTTTTTTGTCTATTTTGATCAAAATCTCGTCTAGTAAGTGAGTTTTACTAACTGGTCAAAATGAGGAAAAACAAATCAAAATTTTTAAAATATAAAAAATTAATAAAAACTGATCCAAACCGAACAGAACAGTATAAACACAAATGAGGCAATTTTGCAATTTTGACTTTATAAAATAATAATTTATAAAAATCCAATAAAATATAGCGAAATAGTATAATTCGAGTCCGATTTTGCGACATTTTGCTTTAGTTTTAACAAAATTTCTCAACAAAATAAACAAAATTTAGCGAAAATTGCTTAAAACTGAACAAAAGCGAATGAAAGATAACATTAAAAAAAAACACAAAGAAGCAAAACTTTTTTTAAGTCGACAGAAACAGACCGGAAAAACTTAAATGGAGTTAAATGTTGCAACTTTTGAATTATTTAACGAAACCTGTTTAAAATTTTAAAAATCATAAAAATGAGACAAAACAGATTTCTTACACTAATTCTTAAAAATCTCCTCAAATTTCAGTTTCAATTTCTGAAACACTAAAAATTGTAATGCAATAGATCAAAATAATTGGAATGGAGATTGATTTAGCGATTTTTTGCTCTAATCTAAAGCAATTTTTTTAGAAAATATGTAAAAATTTTAATGAAATTTCCAATAATCGCAAATTGGTCCAGCGTTCCGGGGTTCCAGCGATTTTTTGCACTAATCTAGAGCAAGATTTTTAGAAAATATGTAAAATTCTTAATGAAATTTCAAAAAATCGTAGAAAGCAACACTAGTGGAATTTGATTTTTCAATTTTTTTTATTTATCTCAAAAATGTATTTAGACACTCGAAATATGTATTCGATCAGCTGCACCACATAAATTATCATTTTTGCTCCTAATATAATATACTATTATTTAAAATTAAATACTACATTACAATACCAATTTTTGTAATGTTTGTTTATTTTCTATTAGAAAAATAGTATTCGAAAACTAGACACGGAATAAATCCTATCAAATTAGTAAATTTTTTTGTGGAAATTATGGGGGCCTCGTGGCTATGCCGCTCACACTTTTGATTCGCAAATTGGTCCAGCGTTCCGCGGTTCCAGCGATTTTTTGCACTAATCTAAAACAAGATTTTTAGAAAATATGTAAAATTTTTAATGAAATTTTCAAAAATCGTAGGAAGCAATACTAGTGGAATTTGATTTTTCAATTTTTTTGATTTATCTCAAAAATGTATTTAGACGCTTGAAATATGTATTCGGTCAGCTGCACCACATAAGTTATAATTTTTGCTCCTAATAACATAATATACTATTATTTAAAATTAAATACTAAATTACAGTACCAATTTTTGTAATGTTTGTTTATTTTCTATTAGAAAAACAGTATTCGAAAACTAGAAACGAAATAAATTCTATCAAATTAGTAAATTTTTTGTGGAAATTATGGGGGGCTCGCGGCTATGCCGCTCACACTTTTGATTCGCAAATTGGTCCAGCGTTCCGGGGTTCCAGTTGAGTTTATTTATCGAGTAGCGCAATAAATAACAGTAATAACCCAGTAAACATCTACAATTTAAGAAATTACTCCGTGCATAAATCCGGGAAAATTACAAGTCACTTGCTGCATTACATCCGTCAAAGTGTCCAATAATTCAGAAACTCTCCCCGATAAAAACTGTTAAAATCTTGTTTCCGGGCTCTTTCTTAACCGATAAAACACATAATAACCTGCCTAGACCGGTAATAACATTTTCGTATTATTAAAGACCGGCAAATTACACGGTTTGATGGTGTTACGAACCGTGGACTATCATTATACCCGAAGTTTTTGCCATTTTCGGATTTTGTTAAATCACACAGCAATTTAATTTWATTTTTTCAGAGAGCAATATCTCTTCAACGTGTTCGAAGCCATAATTTCCACTCTCGAGTCCAAACTCCAGAGAATAGAAAACTTGGACAAAGCCGTCGAGCATTTAATGCGACGAGTGGAAGGTTTGGACAACCGTGTCAACAACAATATTGACAAAACCGAATCGGTGATAGCAAAACTGTCCCTTCTTGACTCAAAACTGTTCAGTTTTGACTCGAAAAAGACCGACGGGGGGCCAAATGACAATGTGGGGCGTCGACTAGTGGCCCTCGACCAGAAAGTCAGCGATATTGACAACAAACTAAACGTTTTGAAGAGTCAACTCGACAATAACTTGCTTCAAGGCGAAGATATCAATGCTGAAGCAAGCGAGAAGAAACCCGTGAGTATGAACGTGGTGGAAATCACCAAAGCGCTAAACACGGAAGTGATAAACCACGTGACCAAGGAATTGGGACAGTTGAGGGAAGCCACCGGAAGTGTTGACCGGAAATTGCAATTCCATATCAATCTAGTTTCGGAAAATTTGGGCAAAGTGTTGACAATGATGACGGATATTCACCACGCCATCGTCGACGATATCACCACGAGTCATTACAATAAGACGACAACTCCGGCCCCGGAAACCCGGAATAACAAAATCGACGCTTTGGTGCAGCAAATCCGGCCCATTATCTCCGTTTCAGAGAAGATGGATGAGGTCTGGGACGTCGTGGTGGGTACCAAATCGTCAGTTGACGATTTGGTGCCAAAATCGGACGAGCTTTTGACACAAACGCAGCGCCAAGAGCGGGCAATTGGCGAAATCCACAATGATTTAAGAACCAAAACCAATAAAATCATCGCGAATTTGGATAAAGTTGAGAAYAGGTTGAAGAAACAGGAGGATGATGTTGCGACTTTGGCACAGAGACCTGTTCCTGCTGAGCTTCTCCTTGACCCCACCATTGATCGTTTGGTTGAATATGACCCAAGTCGGTATGTTGATGAGTATTCAACTGATACCACCCTCCCGGCCACTTTCACCACTTTGCCACCCCCGACTACCACTTTGAACCAGAGCAGTACCACCCCTGTGAGCCCCTCGACGCAAGCAACCACGGAAAAAAGGGCGGAGAAGAGGAAAAGTGGGTTGATTTTCCCCAGTGTGAAGAACAAACCCTCGCCGGCAAACACCACTTTTGCCACGGAGCTTTTGGCCAATGTTAAGGATGTTAAGGTAAGAGCTTTTGATTAATATTTCGACGTTTTCACTTTTAATTAATTTTAATTAAAACTGAATCGTGACAGAATTATTGAGAGACTTCGACGATGGGTCATGTCGCAAAAATTTGAATAGGGTTTTTTCGAGTCGGAGATAAAATCAATATTTTAATTGTGTCGATTCAGGCCTCTTCTTTGATGCAACTTTCCCCGAATTAAGACCCCAATTATCGYCAAGCAGTGAATGCAACTAATTTACCTCTTTGAGGTTCCATTATTGGGCACGTCGGTGTCTTTGTTTCATTTAAGCGCATTATTTAAAGACGAAATGAAAGCGATTGAGTTATCTGAGTTAAAAGGAAACTTTTTTTGGAAATCTCAATTTCCGACAAAGAGAAATACAACAAAAATGAGAAGAACAGTTTTCAAAAATAAAAAGTAGAATGAAAGTTTCTATCTATGTAGTTCGGCTAATATGAAATAAAACAATACTTTAGATATATTGTTTTTAAATCTTACCACTAGTTTTCATGATTTGTTTTTTAAATAGTCCATAGCTTTTTTCATGAAATTAAAAAAATCACTCCTTCAATTCAATGATTTTACTTAGTTATTTAGTTTAATAGAATAAACAACAATTTTAATCAGATTATCAGTGAAAAACGAATAAAG